TTTGATCAAAAGGAGCATCTCCAGGATTGGCTGCAGCACCCAACTCCGAAAAACAACTTTTGGCCCGTGAGCAGGTCTGGGTTTAAGTCATTTGCAGTTTTCCTGCCCTATCGCTTTGTTGTTAGGGCAGACGTTGCGGTTAATAACATCACAAGATTAGACAGCCCGTGTTTGCTGGCGTTGCATCCATATTCATAAGATGGAAATCGCTCTCCTGGCCTGAGTACACAAACATTCAGCTCATGGATGGCTGAGGGAACTTGTTTCCTGCAGAGGTCTGCATTTCGGTAAAAATATATCCGTGTATTGCAGGGTTTGGCTTTTTTGCACTTGTAACTTTATAATGGAGTTGAACGACAGCTAATTATAGTGACCTCCCACCAGCCAAAATAAATGCTGGATTCCAGACCGGCTCATAAACTTTGCAGATGACCCAGCAGTCTTTTGATGGGTCATATCCTACTTTTGCTCATTTTCCAGCATACGGCTCTGAATTTGGCTTGGAATATAAATATCCAGGGGTGGAATGTTAAACACAGCTCATGGGCGGTAAACAACGGCGTGGAGAGCCGAGGAGGTCGGGCTGCCTGGGGCGCGGGAGAAGACGAGGAAAAGCAGGAGAGTCCCTGGAGCTCTTATTTTTCCAGTCCTCGAGTGCTCTGCACGTGACGCTATATGTAGTATATTAAGAATTCCTATAAAGTTAGCTCCGAGTTGGATTTCGGTCCCTTGTAAACAAGGTTTCGAAACGGGCCGTGCACATCAAGGAAAACGAATATGCTGGGAACGTTACGGATGCTTTCGCTTGCCCCGAGACTTCGAGCCGCCAAAGGGATTAAAACGTCGCAGGTTCTTTCTTTGAAGAAATTGAATCCAGATGTCAGTCACATTTAGAGGCATCCAGGACTTATGAAAACTGGGAAAACTGCCCGCCGTGGGATACCCTCTCCTCCCGCTCCGCACCAATTCAAGCCTTCTTCCATGGACGATGGCAGAGCCGAGATCTTCCCGGCTTTGGCTCTCTTCTGTAGCAACCACCATCCTTCTCACAGGCTTAGGTGTCAAGTAGAACAACCCTTAAGCATAGGGGTGGCCACAGCTGGATTTTGGGGAGCTCGAGGGCGCTGTAATGCCCTTTCCACTGACCCTAGCTAGGCTGAAATCCCACCCCGGATTTGTTGGGGTTTCATGGTGACTTTCCGCCCACTCCGGCCATTCCAGCATGGCCAAGGGAAGCTCCCAGAGCAGGTCCTGAGCGCCAGATGCACCTGATGGATTTTCGGGATGACACATTCACGTTTCGGGCAGTGTCCCACACAGCAACCCCTGGCACTGGCCAGATGCCAATTGACCCTCCAGCCCCTTGAGTATTTTTAGCTGCAAAAACAGCATCAGCCTGGAACTACCCCTGGAAATTCTGATGCGTGTTTTGGTAGGAATTCATCTTTCGTTAGCCTAAAATTTATTGGATGACACCTTGGGGTCAAAATAACAACAGGGCACGTCAATAACATGGCAAGCAGCTTATTTAGTAGCAGCTTTATCCAGAATAATCGTCAGGAGAAAAGAAGGTCCCAGGTACGAAGCCGGCCCGGACTTCAGGCAAGCTCCACACAACAGCAGCCCTCCATTGGAGTGAAAACGTGAAAACACACGCCAAAAACAACAGGAAAACGAAAACCCGCACCAAAAAACATCGTAGAATGAAAACCCGCACCAAAAAACAGCGTAAAATGAAAACCCACACCAAAAACCAGAGTAAAACGAGGCCTGGGTCCCTCGAACGCTTCCCAGTTGCCTAATTCAAGGGTAGGAGAGAAGCCACTGAGATCCTTCACACCTAGAAGTGAAACCCAGGGGCTGCGCAGAGGGGAGGACGATCCCG